CTAAACCTGCTCTGCAGGAGTGATGCTCACTACTGCTGAGGTGCCTGAGACCTGGAGCCTCCCATCTGTGGGTGGCAGGGCTGTGAAGTGGTCTAGGGCTCCTCAGATAGTGCCTGGCTCGCTAGGCCTCCTTCATCAACTTTGAAAAAAAACGTCAGTTAACTTTAAGAAACAAAGTTGAGGGTGCATTTAAGGGTGGGGATGATCAGTTGGTGACTGATGCCATCTTTGCAGGGTCTGGGAGCCCAGCCCTCTTTGTAGGTGGTACCAGGTAGGACAGGAAATTCTCAACTCGGTGTTTGGATGCTGTACCCAGTGCAAAGGAGCAGTACTGTATCATACCTTCCTGACTGAGCTGTGTTGAAACCATTGTTTACTAGGGATATGGTGACATCGTGTGGAGGTTTCCTCATGTGTCACCTGGGATTCTAATAGGACTGTTGGGGACACAGCTGTGCACATCACACTTTACTGTTTGACACAGAACAGAATAATTGTATAATAATGAACATTACCATGGTGGTGTTTACTAGAGTACTTTGTCTGGAGGAATCATTGCCGCAAACCTTGAAGAGCTTAGCCTGGAGTCTCCACCTCCCCAGCCTTGTGATGCTGCATGGAACAGGAAATGCAAACCAAAATGGTTGCAGTGCAACAGAGGGGTATAATTTCGGTTCCTGAAGGAGTCTCTTAAGCAGGATTTGTTTCAGGTTTCTGTATTGGGGTTGGGAATGAATGCATGGTCACCAGGATCTGCTCCTTGGTCCTTAGGTCTTGGCTGTGATATCCTTTGGCCCTCTCAGGGTATCAAGATGCCTTTGCAGCCCAGTGCCCTCCCACATTCCAGTCTGTATGGGCATAAGCCACAGCACCTGTTCTGATTGGACCCACCCTAGACATGTGCTCCTCTTTGTGGCCACAGTGCACAAGGTTTTTGTTGGCCAGGCCCCCATAGTGTGTCTGTTGTTATCCACAGGCCGAAGTGCTCTGGGGTCCTCCTGAACTGAGGGAGGAAGAGGTCTCTGTCTCTTCTGACTTCTGTTACAAATCCATAGACAGAAGAGTGGCTTGAAATAATGAGAATGTATTTCCCTTAGTGCTGGAAGTCACAGATGGTGCCTAAGTGACTGTGTTATGAAGCCATTTCCCAGTTGCAAACTGCCAGCTTCTTGTTGTATTCTTGGGTGGAAGGAGGGAACCAGGCAACTTTGAGAGGCCTCTTTAAATGGCACTGAGCCCTCTCTGGAGACTCTGTTCCCACAGCCTAATCACTCCCCAGTTCTGTCATCTTGGGAGCTATGATTTCAGTGTGAGAACTTGAGGGACCCATTGACATCAGTAGGCAGGTCTACACAGAAGAGTTAGGTGCTGTTACAGGAAAGGGTAAATGGAGGTCAAGGGCATCCCCTGCATGAGTGACACTCAGGTGTGACTGTCTTTCCTGCCCCTGTGTACTATTGGCAGCGAGAGGGTACCTTCAGACCTGGTCTTGCAGGGCAGCTCTTGTCATCTGGGGACTTTGGAGAGAACAAGGCAGGAGACTGTGAGGAGGTGGCGTGGCTGCATGACAGTCACTGAGCTCAGTTTCTGCATCTGTGAGCCTGTCACCTGACCAGCTTGCAGGGTGCAACTTTTGGGCCAGTTCTGAACACACTTGGAAAAAGCCGTGCAGCCCCCAAGACTTTCTGGTCCACTCCACACAGTTACTAAAATTTACTTTGTACTTAAAAACTTGGGTGTAAACAAAGCTCCTCCCTTGAGCCTCCTGTGAACCCATGAGGCAGACCTTAGTGCTTCTTCCTCAGACAGGGAAGCGCAGCAGCAGACAGTCCCTAACTCGGTTCAGGAGTCCCACACAACTGCCCACAGACAGAAACAGTCTAGGAAAAGGAAAATCACAGACCCCAACACAGAACCCCTCACCACAGTGTGAGAGTTAAATCCAGAGAAATGACAGGGATAGCTCAGCATGAGCAAGAGGGTGAATGCCAGGAGCGTGATGGCTTGATGCTGAAACAAAAGTAAACCCAGTATAATGTTAACAGAAAAAGGAAGGAAATCCACGGGGCTGCCTCAGTTGGTAACACTGATTGGCACTGATGACGACCTGCCTTTCTTCCAAGAGCATGAAATCCCTCAGCCACACTTCATCCTACTGGAAGTTAGAGGCTTCCCCTCCCTGGTTCATGCTCACCAAAGCCCTGAGTCCTCCTTCCTAAGACCCCATTTCTCTCTCTATTCTGTTTTTTCTGTTTGCCTCTCTCTGAAGCATGAGCTCCACCAGGGCAGAGACTCATGTCTGTGCTAAACTCTTCTCAGATTTCACAGATAATCCAGCAGATACTCACATGATGTTGTCTTTAATGTCCCTCTGAGGCCTGTGGGCTTCAGGCGTGGAAGTCAGCAGAACCTTGAGAAAGTGGGGCTTAGAGAAAGGAAGTTACCATTAGGAATGTGCCCCTGCAAGGTTACTGAGACTTCAGACAGCCTTTCCTTGTGAGCTTCCTTGGTCTCCACACACCCAAACCAAAAGAACCAACTGACCGTGGACCAGAACTTCTGAAACCTCAGGCCTAAGCAAGCATCACCTGAGATGCTGAATTTTTTGAAAGGTATTTTGTCATTGTTTTGGAAAGCTGACTACTCCACATGGATTCAGTGAATGACTGATTACATTAGAGACTTCAGAAGGACCAGAGGCAGGGGAAGGAGAAGAGGATCTCCAAGGAGGAATTTCCTCTGCCTCAGCCTCAAAGGTGGGCAAGATAAGCTGGTAACAAGGGTATGTGATGTGCCAGGACAGCATTCGCAAAGGGACAGAGATGGGAAAGTTAGGGGAGAGAGAAAGGCTTCTAAGCTGAGGCCAGACTTCAGATGGTTCGGACTTCTGCTAGTCATGTGGCCTGGGGCAGTAACCCCTGCTTGGGCCCAAACCTCCTTCCTGTAGGTCTGAGGATGTCTGCGCATTTGGGGGAGGCCTGAAGGAGGCGGAACACTGGGGCCAAGGTTGAGGGAAACACACTGACCTGCAATTCCTTCTTTCTCTTGTGGCTAAAGGTTTTTTAAACATCATAGTGAGGTAATCTTTACTGTCTGTGTCCTGTTTCCAGCTCCCAGCCAGCTTCTTGTCTCATCCCCTTCCAAGAATCAATGGGCAGATAGCTAGAGTGCAAACCAGAGGACTTGATCATCAGTTCAGAATCAGTAGCCTTCAACATGGTAAAACAACGTAAATTCTAGTACCACACAGGATTTGAAAGAAACAGGTGTTGTCTTAGTATTCTGTTGCTGTTGTGTGTCGCTTAGGTTGCCTCCGAACTTGTTCTGTAACTGAAGACCTTGAATTACAGATGATCTTGAGTTGTTGGGATTACAGACAAGTGCCATCATGACCGACTTCTAGTTGTGACAGACTCTAGCATACCTGTGCTGTGTTGGAGACTGAGCTGGGCAAAACTGAGGAATGACTGTTGGCACTCTGTTCCGTGTCTGTCCTGCCCTGGGACCTTGGTCACTTTGTACAGATGACTGTCAGAGTGCAGCATGCCTGTCTGCTCTCCCGCTCAGGAACATGTGGGCTGCTCTCCCTACCTTCACCCTTCCATCTCTGTGACATTCATTCCAAGGATTCCCTGGGACCCGCAGTAACAGTGAATACCCACTTAGCATTCCCAGTGCCACATCTGGTAGACTCTGACATTTGTCCTCAGTTTACTGTGACGTGGGGCTGTTGCTGTCCTGTATTAAGAAGCTGGGGCAGTGACACCTGAAGGCTTCCCCACCGTGTTGCAGGCTGTCCTGACTTACCTGCTGATGTGCTTGCTCATCTGCCTCTTTCCCCCCATGTGATTATGATGCCAACTCCAAGTGCATAGGGATCCTGCGATTGTTGTCATTATACTTAGTGGTCTCCAGGCCCTGAAGAAGCCATATTGTAACAAAGGATAATATCTGGGTGGGTGCTCTGAGTCCAGCCTGGATCAGCTGAGAAACCAATATTTTTCCTCAAGCGTAAGCACCTTTCCTGCTGATGGGGAATTACGTGAATAACTCACAGGCTGAAAATATTACATGGAAAATTCCAGAAGTAAACCACTCAACTGATAAGTTTTAGATAGCTTTCATAGCCAGGTATGGTGGTACACGCCTTTAATTCCAGCACTTGGGAGGCAGAGGCAAGTGGTTCTCTGTTGAGTTTGAAGCCAGCCTGATCTACAAAGTGAGTTGCAGGACAGCTAGGGCTATACAGAGAAACCCTGTCTTGAAACAACAACAACAACAAAATAACTTTCATTACAGTCTTATTATAACTTGTATTATTATGTTACCACTCTTTCTCTCTTTCTGGGCCTCTAATGTATAAACTAAAAGTCACTATAAGTGTGTGTGTGTGTGTGTGTGTGTGTGTGTGTGTGTGT